AATCAACCTCGAGAATGCCCCAAAAAGAAACACAATATGTCAGCAAGCGCACTTGCCCTGAAAACGATCTTGGATGGTTTCCTCTATGCTGTTTTTTGAATCGCGCCCAGGGCATTCAGCAAAGGGGTGTCCACATCCATAGTGTTGAGGGATCACAAGACTGTTAAAGCAAACATCCAGGGGATGCGGCCAGCCCCGATACAAGGAGCGATGGCGCTAGCCCAACATCACAACTTGAGACTAAGAGTTGATCTGATGATGGCTGTGTTGAAAAAGTGGATTGGAGGATGGCTGTTCTCAGTTTGATCGCATGTTGGAGCATGGGTTCCGCCTCGGCGGGGCGCACCTGGTGAGGCTATTGCCCTATGTTTGTTTAAATACCCCAATTGAGCTGACCAAATGCACTTATTGCAACACGCATGTTGCCAGGTGCACGACAGGGGTCCCTTCATATTTCCCATTCAGAGGGGGTTTTAGCAGCACTAGCTTCTTTTGGTGAGGGTGGTGTTTAAGGGAGACAAATATCAGGAACCCTGCAGCCTGCATGACCAACTATTCGATTGCATTTGGATGTTGAGAGCCCTGAATTTGGCGCTCTTCCACAAAAGAAGAGGCGTTCAAAGTAGACCACCCCATGGGTCAGTGGCGCCCTTCAACTCTTTTTTTAGGTAGGGCCAGGACAGAGTTGGAAAGCAATCAACCCAAAAACCGGTTCCTTCATCTACCACGCTGGCCGGCCTTGATCAACCGGAGGTTTTCTACCTCATTGGCACTGTCCGCCAGACGTTCTTTGTCAAATCCATCCTATTTTTTTCCTTGCGAAGTATGCAGATTGGACATCCTCAAGCCCGACATTTTCCACTTCCGGTGTTAACCGGCCGTCCTGGTGGAACTCAGATCTCACCCGAGCCACTATCAGAGCCTAAACAAGGGAAGGCTTGTAAGGGGCAGCCCCCTTTCCACAGCTAGGTGTGGCCAAAACACACCTTGGATTATTTTTCATGAACCCTTCAATCCGCACCATGCAAGCAAATCAGATGACCGATTCACCGATTTGGGGATGTGTAAACCTACGGGGCGTCTGGCGACGTTTGGCAGGCCCGCTCCAGGAGCGCTTGGACTTTGGCATCATTTGCATCTACACCTGCGAGGCTCGCGCACGGGCGGTGAACGTCGAGGGCCAAAAAATGCGAAGTGCGGCCCTGGGTTTCCGGTTGCAATGTGAGGGGTGTTCTCAGCCCCCCAAAGTTTAGAGAGGAAGGTGGGGAAAGCGTCTTGTTCATGGCGAAAGCGTAAGATGCTTGCCTGCGCAAGCAGGAGAGCTGTGATGCAGACATCAAGTCGCCCTACGTCGAGGACGGTGTGGTGAAGTCAGCACCCTTTCGGCTTTGGGTGACCAAGCCATCGCCCGCCTTTGTTCTAAGGCCAGGCTAGGTGGTACGATGGATCCGTGGTGTGTGGCAAGTTTTATGGCTTCACGCCTCATTTGGGTTCCATGAGCAAAATTGCCTGACCAGCAACCCATCTGCTTCAACATGACAAAGTGCACACATAAACTTTGCACGACTCCAGCTACGCCTAGGCCCAGGCAAAACTCCAGTATTTCTAAGATGAGGAATGTCATGAATGTCAAGAGATTATTGGACTGCCTTGAGCTGCAGTTCAACATGTAGCTGCGTTCGGCTCTCTTTTTTGTTGGCTGGTGGAACAATAGAGGTCCGACCGACCAAAACGCCCCAACAGAACGGCCCGATGATTTGCGCCAAGACAAGGCTGACTGCTTTTGGGAACTCAACAGATAAGGTTAACGCTGAGGGCACTCCCAACGATGGCCATGATGTCACTTTCACCGGACGTTTCACAGCACTCGTGCTTGTAAGTGATGGACAAATAATTTTACCAGCTCAGAGGGGCTCACTCACTCGCGGGGCTGAGCCAGATAGGCTTGAACAGCGTGGCGGTGATAAGCTGATTCAACGCTGAACTCTGCTGACGGCAGCTGGTTGGACACTCCCAGGAGTTGGTCTACGTCCAGGCTGAGCCCTCCGAGTGGCTCCCGACCTAAGGCGCAGATGGATGAGTGAAAGAAGCGGTTACTTCCAATCAGGGAACCTGACTGGGGGTCATGGAAGACAGTTTTCCTAGAGGGAGCCTCTGGTGGGATCCAGGTCATTCTGAGAGGAGACTCGACCCTCAAGAAGTTTTTGGAAGACTGGCACCTTTGGTTAGGGTCCCCTGTCCACTTCCATGGATGTGGGAAAGAACGTACTCGGCTTCAAGAGTTTGCCTTGTGACAACCTTCGCACTGCTGTGTGCCGGAGGGGAGCGAAAGCATGATTAATTTCTGTCTTGAAAAAGGAACCCTTGGAAAGAAGAGGGTGTTTTCTGCGATGTGTCCACTGGTTCTTTTGTGAGTGAACATAGGGGGAAATCATTCTGAGCTGGGTTGGTCTTGACCCCCGACCAAAGGGCAAACTGTTTGCTTGGGCTCCTTGCCTGCTGTTCAAAGAGGGTGTTCTGCAGGTTTGGGCCCTTTTCTCCAGGTGTTAAGGGCACCCAGAGCGCAGGCTTTTCCCGAAAAAGGCGTGCAGGCCCTTCAAACGAAACTGGGCCCTTGAAGGTGGGATGTTAAGAAAGTCCCATTGGACCATTCGACTGGTCCCGACTGGTCCCGACGTGAGTCCGCACACATGGGGCGAGCCGACGCGCCTCAACCCTTGGACCCGAAAGGGCACGGTTGAAAATGTGTCACGCCCTGGGCAGCGCAGAACCGGTGGTTGCTTTTTCCCCAACAGCTGAAAGCTTTTGGGTCTCAGCCCAGATAGGCTCCGGGGTGGTCCGAAGCGACCCTGAGGCAAGGTTCCACCAGGGTTCCACGAGGTTCTGCAAGGGCTGCGGGGTGGTGCGAGCACTAAACAGAGCACCGTATGCTGTTTTGTTTTTTTTTTTGGGGGGGGGGAGGTTTTGGTGCATATTTGCGCGTGTGCAGAAAGTGTTCGCCGGGATAGCAGCCTCAAATTGGCTACTCTGAACTTGGGCCTTTCGAAATTAGCTGGCCATTGCCGGTCCGGTTTCCGATGTTCTGACCCATCCGATGTTTTGATTGACGTCACTCAAAATGCGGGCTTCCTCACAGCAGCACAACAACAAAGGCGAGTGAAACGCCGGCTTCTTCCGCGACGATACTTGGACGCCTTTTTCCTCCCGTCCGACAATCTGTGCCAGGCGCCTGCCCTGTCGGCATCGCGACTGCACGTCAAAAGACCGGCCGAGATCAGGTGTCCAGCTGGACCGCGAGGGCTTAAACCCATTGCCACGGATGGGAAATCAGCCCCCGGGTTTTTGCAGTCCAACGGGTCGACGGCTGAGCTTACAGAAACTCAGCACCAGTTTCGATGCAGTGGATGCAAAACCCCTTGTCGGGGTTGCTGTACTGGCTCAATATGGTTATCCTTTGCAGCCACTGCAAGTAGCACGAACAAAGCGGCTGTTTGCGACCCCTGGAATTTGAGCCGAAAATGTGGCCCGGTCTTTGATATGGCTGTTGGAGGAAGGCACACCTATTAAACTGGAGAAGCAACCCCCACCATCTACAGGCTCGACTTGCTTCGAGCTTTGGGCTTACATCCTTGTATTTTGTTTTTGTTTTAGGACCTCATGGCATTCAAGTCTTTGTCGTTGTTCTCCTCTGTGGCGGCCAACCAGGCCACATGGAAAGGCAAGCCAATTGGCGTGAGCACGTCAAGGCAAACACTATTTGGGCAAATTGCTCACCTACCGGGGGGCGTTTGCGACCTCATTCACGGTGAAGGTTTTCTTTTCGTGCGGTCCCCATCTCAGGTTAGCTTACACAGAGCTTGAGGCATGGGCCTGTTGCCTTCTTTAGTGACTCTCTCACAGGCCACTTTGCAGCCATTCTAGGTGTATTTGTTCCGGGGCTATTTGACCATGGAAGGCCATAGCAACCGGAGAAGAGCAAACCCACAGTGACTCAGCTGGCTCGCTAGCAACAGTTTGGGTGAGTCCTGAGATAGGGTGTTGCTTAGACATCGGTCAAACCCAAATTAGGATTGACCTTGGTTTTCGGGCACGTTGTGTAATACTTCGGACACCTCGACTTGTGGTGGATAGATTGAGGGCGTTTGCTGACTTTAAGAACTGTTTGGGGGACGTCCAGGTTTATGACTCGGAATGCGGGCTTTTCGAAGAAACCCGCCAAGACGTTGGCTGTTTTGAGGGGTAGCCCGGGGTGTAATAGAGGTGTCTCGTAGGCTTATTGGGATTGGGGCATGCCTTTTCGGGGTCAGTTTCTTGACTATCGGAGCTTTGGCTCGCGTGAAGCCACGTATTGAAGTCTCTTTTGGCCTATGCAATAGCTTCACTCTGCTCATGGCTCACAGCGCAGAATCGGCCACACCAGAGCCTTACGAAGCTACAGCAACAAGCCGCAACGAAGCCAAGCAACCTTGACCAACTCTGAAAAAGCCTCCCTCTGTAAGAATAGGCGGTGGGCCCAACCCTGCCACGATAGCGGGGACTATACGGACGGGCCGAGAGAACAAAGAAAGGGCTGCAACTCAGACAGAGAGCCTAGCAGATCATAAACCAATCATCAGGACCTCCAGCAGAGACGGGGAATCCATGACTTGACATGAGCCGCAGGCTGCGTCAATGGCAGTCAAGCAAGGAGCCATACTCAAATGTTCGCCGCTTTGTCATAGGTAAGTCTTGGAGATTCAACCCTCCAATTGGCACGGACCCATTTGGGGTTGATGGTTTCCCTTTGGTTGTCGATGACACAACTCCCAAAAGGCAAGCCAATACCAACTTCAAAAAGACACAGAACAGGTAGTTCCCTCAAATCAATGCAAAACAAGGTCCCGTCAAGTTTCAGAATCACTGCCAGACTGTAACCCAAAGTCAACTTTTTGCCCTTTGCCGCTTGGGTTTTCCTGAGGTTTTCCACGAGGCAAAACGCATTCGCTTGTCGGGGGATTTGGATGACGCTGGAGCGCTGGATCTGCGTGTGCCCTGTGGCGCTGACCCTGGGCACAGCGCCGCGGGGCAAGGGCGAGCTCGTTGCCCACGTGAGGAAGGGAGAGGACCGCCAAGCGATCAGGTGTCTGGCTGTTTTCTGGGGGTGGGGTTGCCTTGGGGGAGTTGGAAGTTTGAGGTTGGGCTCAAAACAAAGAACAACAGCACGACAATGACCGCAAGTTCATGCAAGCATCCAAATTTGGCTAGTACTACTACCACTACTGCTGCTGCTACTACTACTGCCACTACTCCTACTCCGACTCCTGCTACCTATGGGTTGCTCCAAAATCTCAATTGTTTTTTTGGGTCACCCGTCCCCAACCAAAGACTCCAGGGCACCAGTCCGGACTGACCCCCAGGCGGTGGTCTTTACCGCCTTCCCCAAGCGCAACGTCGAGCCCAAGGATTTGGAGAGGAAAGATGCCTACCTGCGGTGCCGCAAGGTTGAGGGCCAGGAGACCTCCCAGCAAGGCCCCGGAGTTGTTTTTGTTCCTTTGCTTCTTTGCTTCTTTGTTTGCTTCTTTGTTTGTTTGTTTGTTTGTTTGGTTGGTTGGTTGGTTGGTTGGTTGGATGGATGGATGGATGGATGGATGATTGATTCATTATTTGTTTTTTTAGAAGGGTTCAAGTACCTTGTGAGGATACACTTTTGAACCGTTTCTGGCCCCTCAAGTACGTACATGCTGAGACGGTACTTAGCCCCTTGGGGTGTGTGGTCCGGAAATGCTGTTCGTTCAATCTGTTTTGGTTCCGTCAGGCTGGATCCTCTGCAACTCCGAGCACGGCGTCCACTTTGTATCCTCCAACGAATGTGCGGAATCCGACGACCTTGAGCCTGAGGTGTCCCATCCGCCACTCCCGCTGCGCGTGCAGCCTTGCGGGTTTCGAAGCGGGGCTCAGGAGGGTGAGAAAGCCGTCCCAATCAAAAGAGCTTCTGAAAAAGTGGCTGTAAGGGAAAGAAAGACTTTGCTTCGTGTTTTCGGGCCCAAGGTTCCGTGTTTCCCTTGGAGCGCCAGAAAGGGCTTGGCCAAGTGACATCCCCCACTTCAGGGTAAGTTCCCTGTGACTTCCTTGAGGAAACACGTCTAAAGGGAGGGGGATTGTGCGGTGTGGCTTTCAAGATGGGGCGGTTGCCCGCCAGGACGCTTGGCTAGGATCCCTGCCGCGCCTGCAACTGCCTAGCGACGTGTCAGGCACGGCCTCCAAATGTTTGCCTTGGGCCCCCTAAGACCCTCACATTCCCTGTTGCAGGGCACTCATTTTCATGGAGGGACTTAGGTGGATCTTCCTTTTGCGTCACATTCCCTTCAAGTTCAAAGGTTTTCATTTTCAGGCGCTTCGGTTTTCGACAACCCCAAACTTACCGCCTGGCGGAGAGGCGCCCGTCGCCTGCTGAGCGGGAACGTGCGCGGCAAGTTCCGGGGCCTGGTGGTTTGCGACGCCCTCAGCGGGCCCTCCATGGGCGCGAGGCCCTGCCTGGACCACGTGGCCGGCGCCTGGCTGCGGGAGAACTTTCAGGCGGAAGCGCGGCGGAAGGAACGGAAAAACACCCACAGGAATCCCCACCCAACGAAGGCAGCTCCGGAGTGGAGGAACGGCCCCCCTTGTTTGGGTTCCAGGATCATTTGTAGGAGGGGAGATAAACCAACCTGTAGTCCAACCTTCAACTCACCCTAAACCCCTACCCTAAACTGCCCTAAACCAACCGTTTGCTAGGGACAATTCGTAGCCTGCTATTTTCAATGGTCCTTGAATCCCATTGACCCGAAATCAATTTGGGAACGCAGGTGCAGTGCCAGTGTGTGACACAAAATTAACTCATTGGTCCAATGAAACTGTGACCTCACAAACCCAGGGATTTGCCACCGAAACAAAAACATAAGGGCTCCGTTGGCTCAGAAGGTTGACAATCTGCCAATGTGAACCCACATTTGTAAAGGTCATGGAACAATGCTTGGACGACTGGGCCTGTAAACCTTGTGTGCTTCCTATGGAGCACCAACCCAAGGGTATTTCCAGGGCCGTGAGCTGCAAATACTTCACCCGGCCAGCTGCCAGGAGGAGGTGCAGATTTGCTCCAGCGTGGATTTAGCTGGCTTATTGGAGACGCTGAGCTGCAAAAGCGAGTCAAGGCCAATTTCTAAGAGGGTCTCCAGCACCCCCAAACAACAAGTGCCTTCATATCCCGTTGGCTTCATGATTCTTGCACTGGGCGATTGGCAGCCTCACTCGTGTCCGTATATAATGCTTAGTGCAACACAATTCCTGCTTGTTTCAGGTTGCACGCTGCTATGTTACATGTGTTGGCCATGCTGTGCCAGGGCAGAGTAAGGATAAATGTGTTCATTGGTTTGTGACAATTGGGGAAGCAATCAACAAGACACAAGTATGTCACACATGTGTTCATAGTTACATGACAGGGCCCAACTCTAGCCATAGATGGATACTGGTATTTAGCCCATTTGTTGGCCGGGTGTTTGTGCAGACCATTTGTAGAGTGGGCCAATGTTGAGTACCTTCTCAATTCAACGAGCACGCAGGGATTTCTCGTCCATCATGGAAGACAGGCCATGGTGTGGGAAGACTTCTTTCTAAGCACTTTGTCCAGAAAATTTGCGCCCTCTTCTGCATGATGTTTGAGTTTGGGGCAGCAAAACCTGTCTGTGGCTCAAGGATTGATCCGAGGGTTCTTGAAGCTGAGCTTGCATCAGGAATTCGACGTCAGTACGCACATGTTTTATGCCTGAAAATGCTGCCATACCTCCTACATCCACAATTTAAATTGGGTTTCTCAAATCCCAGTTTTCCGCTTGGTTTCCCCAAGCTGTGACAAGAGTTCTGAAACCCCTTAAAGCTGTTTTTCGCCCAAAGCTCCCCCCCCGAAGGCGGCGGAGTGTGGAGGACCGGCACCGCCTGGTGCTGCTGCTGGTGCAGGAGCCCCGCGCCTGGCTGTGCCGTGCCCTGCTGGGTGGGCTCCAAGGCGCCCCTCGCCACCCGACGGCCAACGAAAAGGAAGCGAACCGGGAAGCGGGGAGGCATGGAACTGGTTGATGAGGACGGCTCGGGACGCATCTCGTGAGATTTCCGGGGTTCGCCAAGGAATCATGGCTGACCATGCCGGGCTTTGGCAGGTTGAGGTCTCAAAATGGCCCTAGGCCAGCGTTTGTGATTGGAGAGGGTGTGTGGGCCATCTCCCCTGTGCGAAGTTGAAACAGCCTCCGTGAATCCCCTGAGTACCGCAAGCAGTTTGTGGAGCGTGTGCCCGTCAAATGATGTCAAATGGCTATGTTTGAACGGAGCTTGAAGCGTTCAGATTGGCCCTGACAGGCGCCTTTCTGGCGGCTTCGAGGCCCCGGCCGGGGCGTTCGGCAATGCAGCGCGGTTCCTATTTGGCTGTGAGCAAAGCCTCGCATCCTGTGTGGCATAGGATAAATACCCCAGTCTGCGGGGATTCTCCGACACGGTATGTACTCAGGAAAGCCCGTTGCCATGTCCTTGACAGTCGCGGAGGAGTTGATTCATGGCCTTTTGTGCGCATGGGACAGATCGCAATGGCCCAGTTGGGTGCGCGAAATCGGAGAGTGAAGACGGGAGAGCCAGTTCGTGTTGGTGGTTGCGCGCCGCAAACTGATGTGGAAATTCGGGACCCCGCAAAAATGGCATTACCTGTCAGTATTTCTTCGCTAAAACAGGGGGCATCCCCCATTGTAGGAAACATCCATATCTGCAATGCGGTCGAAGAGCTGCAAAGCATGGGACAGACAGATGTCAACTGATGCTTCTGAAATGATCATCCCCTGCTCTATTGTCGCAGCACCTGACAAATTTGGCTGTGAGTTGTAAAGGTTGCAACGCCCTCAAAAACGGGTGTGGAGGGAGATTATATATCCAACCGAGGGGTCCCAAAGGACTCCTGCTAGGTCTGTTCGCTGCCAGTTCCGTATGCCTGTATCGCTTGTGACTCTTGACCAGTCCTTTTGAAGCGAGATTTCTTTGGCGTGATGTTTGAAGGGGAAGCCATTTGCTGAATTGGCGATTTCCTGTGAAACCCATGTCGGGTATAGAGAAACGTGGTCGCAAGGGGTCTCTCTTGGAATAGGGCGATCTCCAAAATCCCTACAATTTACCCCCCCCAGAACGGGCCCCAACTCGAAGCGCAGAGCATGTTGCAAGTTTCCACAAGTTCTCCCACACCAAAGCGGGTATACCCTCCAAAGAGGGACACGCTGATCTCGGAGTCCGCGAATCTGTGCGAGGCCGAACCTGGAGTTTGCGAGCATCGAGGAGGCCAAAAGCCTCGAGAGTTGGCTGAAGCAGCCGGTGGAGTCCCAGTGGCAACTGGAAGTTCCAGAGAATTCGGTTGTTGTTGCTGAAGGGGCAGGTTTCTTTTTGACATGTGGGTTTGACATGCCATTATTTGGGTGCTTGTTTGTTTGTCTGTTTTGCTTTTTGTTTGTTTGTTTTTTTGTTTGTTTTGTTTTTTTTGTTTGTTTGTTTGTTTGTTTGTTTGTTTGTTTGTTTGTTTGTTTGTTTGTTTGTTTGTTTGTTTGTTTGTTTGTTTGTTTGTTTGTTTGTTTGTTTGTTCTGTTTGTTCTGTTTGTTCTGTTTGTTCTGTTTGTCTGTCTGTCTGTCTGTCTGTCTGTCTGTCTGTCTGTCTGTCTGTCTGTTTGTTTGTTCGTTTGGGTAACTGTTTTTCTTAGGATTTCCGATGATGGTCACGTTCGAGAACGGATTTCCGTGTAGTTGGTTTGGGGGACGAATTTGCCTTTTCCTTGCTTCCCTCTGAAATGTTCAGGGGAATTCGGACCCGTATCCCCACAGCCGGAAAAGGTTTCAGGACACTTCGATCAGACGCTATTCGAAGAAAGAACCATTCCGCTGGGTGGGGCTTTGTTTTGTTTTGCTGTGAAGGAACTCACCGAAGAAAGCGGGGGGTCTCGATCCTTTCTTTCCACGCAAGGAGTGCATGGGCAACGTCCACATGAAGGCGACGTCTTTCGTCGAGCCAAAACCGGCGTTTGGCCTTGCATTGGCCTGCAAGTAGGCCATGACTGGCAAATACTGGTTATTTTGGGCAGCTCAATCAAATAGGAGTCACATAGTTTTTCTAAATGTGGCAGGGTGGCTGTGTATCTTGCAATGGGTGGTCTTTTCAATGAGCGGGTTCCCCTTGAGTTCCCCTTGGTTTCCTCTTGGTTTCCGCTTCCCGTTTGTTTTCCCTTGCGTGGTTGCCCTTTGGTTTCTTTTGGAATTATCGAAGGATTGTTTCAACAACCAAGAAAGTGACTCCTTTTTCGCTTGGCCTTGGCACGAGAAGCCATTTAAGCCACAATCAAAATCCGGGTAGATGCAGGTTTGTGGGGAATCCGTCTCAATCGGGACTCTCGGCGTGGCAGGAGAGGAACTTTTTGACGAATTTGAATCAACTGCTTGGGCGCCGAATCTCTTGGACACGACACATTGGGAAGAAGATGTTCCTTCGATTTCATCGTGACATCTTTCAACATTGAAACATATGGCTGTGGCTCAAAAAACCGGTACCAAACTGGAACCCTGGCAAATGGAAACATGGATCAAAACCTGCGGTTTGCCCCTGTTTAATGTTGAGCCGCATATTGAATTTACCCCACGGGTTGGTTTCCTTGGGGCTCCGGGAGTTGCGGTTCCGCGCTGCGGTTCCGCGCTGCGGTTCCGGAGGGCCTCATGTCCCTCTGGGCGTGGTACGTCCAAGACTTGGCCAAAGCCGCGGCCGCGCCCAACAACCGCCACGTGTGCCTCTGCCGCGCGGAGGACCGATGCCAAAGGATGGTCAAGACGACAAACAAAAGTGTCCTTGGATTACAACAAAAAACAACCACGATATGCGGTCCTACTTGGGTCACACCCAAGTTTCCTGAAAGAATAACCTGGGATTGTCCCGAGCCAAACCTTATGCGCTGCCATTGAATGTCGCCCCTTATGTTTTGGGCGGGTTTAAACAGACCTCAGTCAGGAAATGCGGGTGTGTCAGAAGAGAGGCCAAACGGTAAGACTTTCATGTCTCACCAATAGAACAAATCAAGTCGAAGGCAAGCCCAGATTTGAGAGGGACATTGGGAAGCTCATAAAATTAATTCACGCTTACAAAAGCCAGGTGCCAGACCCACACCTGCAGAGCCAGTCTATCAGGGTGACGCCATTTGGCAGTGGCGATTTCGGAACCTGCCCCAGGGCCACTCGTTGCTGCGAACAAAACTGATTCATCACAGGATTCACCAGACCGCTGGAAATTGTCAAAGGTAAGGCCCAACTAAGGAGTGCAAAAGGAGCAATGGAGCAAACACGGCGAAACGGATAATTTGAGGAGTAGAGGGGTAACTGAGGATTATCAGGACAAACTTGTTTTTTTGAGGAACGCCTCGAATCAATTCATGCGTTGGTTGTCTAAGAACCCAGCTACAGGATGTCCTCACTTCGCCCAAAAATGCGGGGGATTTTTGTCCGGGCTCCTCAAAAGATACATGTTGCCCATTTGAAACATGGCTTTTTCCACACCAAAACAAAGGGAACCCACCATTTACAAGTTGCAATGAGGTGTATAATGCATCTGGATCCCTGTTGGTTGGAAGCCTGAGGACCTTCTCTTCAACAGCCTGCAGCTGAGGGAGGCCTTGAAGCTCCTGGGCCTTCGCGCCCGGGAGGAGCTCTCGGCTCCGGTGACGAGGTGGTGGCGCCAAGGCATCGAGTGCTACAGGCCGCTTTTTGGGCGGCGCGGGCGTCGCCTGGGGCAAGTTCGTTGGATACAAGCTGACTGGTGTTTGTGTGTTGTGTGTTGTGTGTTGTGTGCTGTGTTGTGTCTTTGTCTGTTTGTGTGTTGGTTTGTTTGCTTGCTTGCTTGCTTGTTTGTGTATATATTCCTAGCTGCCCTTGAAAGGACAACCCGAAAGAGGCTCTTTCAAGTTTGAACATGTTTAAACAAGGGGTTATCCTATGCTTGCAGTGTTTGGGGCTTTGTCAGGTGGGTTGACCTTGATCAATTGGAGTGATTTGAACCACCTTATGGAGATTACATGGTGGACAATGGCCGTGTGAAGGCCCGCTTGTGACAGCAAAAGAACCTATGTTCGGTCCGAGCTTTCTAGGGACACTTTGTTGGATGGGGGCCAGGGGTCGTCGGTCGTACCATCTGGAAGAAACCGTGGGCATGCCACAAACCGCGTCTCCATGTAGTATAGCCATCAACATGGGTTGCTTTTCTTCTTCACTGTGCTGAACCAAGGGGATCCTCCCGGTTCGTTGTTTTGACCTTTGACCTTATCGGAAATATGTTTCTTTCTTCCTCCAGTGCTGGCCTCTTCGAGTCAGTTTCCCTTTCTCTCTTTGCAACTCTTGGAACCTAAAACAATTTTGCCCTAGCCAAAGAGTCTTAAACTTCCATGGGCGTCCTCTTCTCATTCATGTTGTCGATTTCGTTCCTTCAGAAAACTTCAGATTTTCTTGGGCAAGTTCTAAGGAGCTCATTGTTTCTCTTTTTTTTAGCGAGCTCACCCACAAATGGTGGGTTTTTCTGGTGGATTTCTGTCCAGATCCGCCAGGCAAAGCAGCAGACTGACTCTGGAGGAGGCCAAAGCCATGGATGACCCCGTGGCTTCGCTGCGGGCGTCCCTGGGCTACGACGGCGCGCGAGACTGGCTGAGGTGGGCCCAGCTGGCAGAAGACCAGGCGCCTTGACGGCTGCTCCAAAGTAGGGTACCACCACCCAGCTGCAGTTTGTGGAAGACAACCTGTGCGGTTTTTTTCTGGATCCTGAAAAGGGTGCTGAAAATTCAAGAGCTACGGTTACGCAAGTTTTGGTCGTTCGTTTCATTTCCCAAGGCGCCATTGTGTTTCGTGATTTTTGAGCCACGGCCAAACTTGATGTGGTACCCAATTCAAATTCAGATTTCTCTTGGGGACAACCTTAGGTGGCAGAGCTCACTGCGCGCTATGAGAAGGGCCTGGTGGGGGATGAGGATTTGGAGGAGGTCCGACTGGATCCCCAAGATAGGCGCGCGTGCCGAGCTATGGGTCTCTCTCCATCTGCAGGAAGCCCGAAGTGGATGTCCATTTGGTTGCTTGATTCCCATAGATCTGCTTAAATCTGAGAGCTGGCCTAAACGGGGCACTCCGTCTTTGGCTGTCCTGTCACCAAAAAACAAGACATTATCCATTGTTTGCCTATACAAATCATTTGGCTTGAGGTTCAAGCAGCCACAAAACGGGTAACCTCGAACACAGCAAGCCCATGTTTCTTTCCCCCATGCCCCCCATTTGTGTTCGACACAGTTGGCCCTACAAGACCTTTGGTGCCGGCTTGTGGTTGAAAAACACCCTGCTGTAAGTTTGGTCACATCAGCACTGCCATTCTCGAACTTCCGGGACAGGAGATAACCATCGCAATCTAAACCACGACCGTCCAGAAAAAGGGCCTCCAAGTTGCGGCTCGCCTTTGAGGCGCAGATACACGCTGGAAGAGCTGTGCAGCAAGCACGGCACGAGCCGCGGGGAAGCGGTGCAATACTTCTGGAGCCACAGCTGGCCGTTGCCCACCGCCCCCTCCCGCGACTTTGCCTTCGATGGCCTTTGGACCTACTCCTCCGGCACGGCGGCCCTCGGCGCTGGGGCGATCCGTTGGCAGAACGGCAGCGTGACGGCGATCTACCCCACCAGCGATGCGGCTTGCATGGCAAACGCAGATCGCCTCTTTTAGAAGGCTTCTTGGGTTTTGGACCGTGAATTTTTTGCGATGGTTGACAGGATGATCATGTTCAGGCGTGTGTTCCTGAGTTGGTACTTGGCCTCCCTGCTTGGGGTAAGTTTAGAGCAACCTGAATCCAAATGCATTTTAGCGTTACCAGTGAGATTATACAAGTGAGGTTATCTCTCCTCCAACAACTACGATGATTTGCTTGTTGGCTTCCCTTTCAAATGAGCCATCCGAAGGAGTGTCTGGTACCAACGCAGCAAACCAGCAAGCAAAGCCACGCCATGTCGTCCCTTTTTCTGTTCAGTTCCACGGATGGTGCTTTCAGTTTGGCTCGCAGGTGCCATCATGTTTGTTTGCCAAAGCCGCCTTAAGTGAGGTGAGCCACCATCAAAACCCGGGGAGATGAAGGTTAGCAAGGGATAATCCCAACCATGAATAGCTGCGGCCGCCATCTTAATTCTTTGCATTGTTCTGGGTAGACGATTTAAATACCGGGTTTTGATTCTGACTCAGGTGGCCTTCAACATGGAGTTGGAGGGCGAGACCTTCCAGGGGCGCCTGGTGGGGGACAGGCTGGTCTTCAGCGATGGGGACCTCTGGATCAGAGTAGCCAGCCGAGAGGAGAGCTGAACGGAGCCCACGGTGCTTGCCCAATTCATTTCCAAAGTGGGAAGTCTTGCCTCTCTTTTTGTTTCCTGGAAGGATTTTTGCAGCTTCACATCTTTAGTTCATGGGAAACTCCATTCACCCTCCCTCCCGTTCAAGGTGGAGGAAACCCCGACTCCCGGCCCAGGGCAAGGCTTTTGTTGCCCATGTGCCCCATCCCTTGAGGGCGTCCCTGCTCGGGTTCGTCGTGAGAGGGAGGGTTCCGGGAGGTTGCGAGGGACCCGTTCCAAGTGGCATGGATCGGATATAGGCTTCCAGAAAAGTTATGAAGGTTGCTCTTGGGGATACCACCTGAGCTTTGGTGATTTGGTGATTGGTGCCCTCTCGGCGTCAGTGTAAAGGGAAAACGTTTGGGTGAGTGGCGGGCCCCTAATTTAAGACACCACCAGTCGCTTTTCATGAATCCTTCTCCGAGTTGCTAGGAACACTCTCAAACATGAGGCCATCTCATGTTTTGCAAAGGGTCATTGAGTCATTGCTTCTCATTTTTCCTTTGGCCCCACAGATCGCAGTGTGGGTGCGGGTCAAAAATAGGAGCCCAAAATGCAACCCTGGCGAAACATGGACTAAAACCTGCGGTCCCCTGTTGGTTTAAATTTGACCCGCGCCCAAATAGTCCATTGGACCCAATGCACCTAATTGTCCACCTGGCCATTTTGCCGTGCCAAAACCAAACATGTACTCAGTCGTGTCCAACCCATAGGTGTCCTTTTTAGGTTATTTTACATCAAAACAGATGGCACTGGTTTAGATGGGTGTGATTTCATTTACCAGGGCCATCTATTTGTCCAAAAGGTCACCTATGGTCCAACCCATGTCAGGAGCCCGCGCCTCCAGCGCCGGAGCCAGAAGCGCCACCGGAGCTTCCGCCGGAAGCGGAGGACTTGGAAGCGGTGCCGGCGCCGCCCAACTCCACCCCCGAGGCGGAGCTCGAGCCGGAGGCCGCCGGATCCTGTTTTGGTTTCGGTTTCTTGTTTGTTTTTAAGTTGGCTGTGGGTCAAAACCAATGGGATCCCATTTTGGTTGGTAGGTGAATTCACCACCCATTTTAGAATCTATTTTCGAGGGGATTGAGATGTTCACTGGGGGTACGGGATTTTGACCCATGGCCAGTTGGGAGTGGGTGAGGAGGGGTTTCTGGGAAGGGGTTGGATATATCCTTTTGGGGTTGAGGTTTGGGTTTGCGACAACCGTTGCAGCGCCATGTGGTACACCCAATGTTGGTTGGTTTGCTCGACGAATGTGTATTTATTTCAGGAACCTCCGCTATGGCCCAGACCTTCGTGTGGTTTCACAAGGAGTACCAACTCAAAAAAGGAGCCACACCCCTCTTTTGGCCTTTCCAGCCGTATTATTTCACTTTCGCTGCTAGGCGTGTTTCCTTCTCGAAGAAGGACACGCCGAAGTGCGAGGGTTGTAGGCAACTCATGTTAGCTTCCGGAGTAAGCCGGAGCACCAGATGAGTTGACGGAATCCGCATAGAAATGACTTAGTTCCCCACGGAACCTGGGATGTCTCAACCCTGGTTATGGCCTGTGTCACCGAAGTCAATATGTAAGCTGACACGATGAGTCCTATGTCCTCTTGGAACAAGTCGGATCTGCAGGTGAGCTGGAAGGATCACCTCCTGCAGGCGGTGGCAGAAGTGCTCTGGATGAATTCGCATTGCAGTCGGTGCAAACAAGTGGAGTGTGTAGTGTACCTGTTACATGTTCACATTGTGTTCATACTAATATATTGAAATCGCTACACGATCCGCCGACGCCCTCTGCGGTGTGACGACTGCCGCGACTGTCTGCTGCCGTCTTCGTATGTCTGGCCCCTTGCATTCCAAAAGCCAACAGCCAGATTCCGGCGAAGCAATGGACACTTGATTTGATTGGAAACAGAGCCAACCCGCGAAAAAAACACCTACCCATGAGGTCGCTTGGGGGTGAGTAGGCAGTCAGTGGGTTTCGGATTCGATGTGAAGCGCGCAAATCAGATTGTTTTCTGTCTATTTCCAAGGGCAATCATTTTGGAATTTCTGAAAAGGGGGGGGCTTTAGTTTCCTTATGGCTTCCTTCTGTTTTCAGTTTGGTTTCCTTGTGCCAGTGCAGTTATATGAGTCGGTCAGAGTTTGGAGTTAGAGATAGAGGTAGAAGAGGGAAGTTAGATTTCGAGGTTGGTGTTAGGGGGAGTGGTGAGGGAGAGAGAAGCTAGAGTTGCAGTGGTAGAGGTGGGGGGAAGAGATTAGAGTTAGAGGTTAGAGATAAGAGTGCTTGAGTAAGGGAGAAGGACGTTAGAGTCAGATGTTAGAGTAGAATTTAGAGCTTGAAATTAGGACAGTTAGTTGAGGGATAGAGTTCAGGGTCGTGTCAAGAACCTGCCACCTCAGGCATTAAGAGCACGGCTTGCCCCTTTGCCAGAGGATGGCGTGGTTTCACCAACAGGCGTGCCCAGGGGAAATCATCGTGAACATGTCAGAGGCAGAAATACGTGGTTAATCTAGGGTGGTCTCGGTCAAACAAAACATGCGTGGTATTGTCGGATGACTTGGATGCCCCGTGCCAGGATGGTTGCACCCAGCAAACCCATGCACAGCCGCCGCAACCGCCACCCCCCCCCCCCAGCCCGAAATCCTTTGGCCTTCGGATCCGAAAACGCGAACTGTGTGAAACATGTCATGTCCATGTCTGCAATGTCCAAGCCTCCAATTCACTTGTGAAAAGACTGCTTATGATCCCGTCATGCCAAACCAGCGTTACATTCTGAGTTCAGAGGGGTGGAATGGACCGACTAGTCACACATATGGATGTGACCAGAGCACACTTGGAACACCTTGGAACGAGGTTGGACATAAACCCGCTTGAGGTCCACAGGTTCCGTTTCCATTTGAATTTCGCATCTCAGTTTCTGAGTGTCCCGATGTCTAAGGTTCTCTTCCGTGCGGTGGCGAAGCAGCAGGTGGACCGAGTCCTGCACGGATTGCAGCAGATTTCCCTGATGAGTGACGGAGTGCAGCAGCTTCTTGCAACTCGAGACGAGCAGGAGCGGAAAGCAAACAGATCAGATTGGCGGGTCATTGAAACACGCGGAATCAACCATGTTGAAACACCGTTGAGCTTCATTTTGCCCAACCCTGGCTGACAGGTGTTGAAGGTGGCTTTTCGACGTTGTTAGGCAGTTGAGGTTCAGAGTCGTATGTGCCATGTTCTTCATTTCAAGTTGTGGTTGCAGATTTGGCACACGGGCTTGGTCCTGGATACCTTTGTCTGACTTGCTGTCAGGAGAACAGCTTGCTGCATTTGGCTGTGCGTGAAGCCGCAGGCGGCAGTGACGCGAGCCTAGCAGTGGTCACCGCTCTCCTTGATGCGCGTGCCGACGTCCACGCGTGCGATGGCCAGGGAAGGCCGGCGATGGAACTCGCGGAGCCTTCGAAATCGCTGCGCCACATCTTGCTGGAGGCTGCGGCAACCCAGGCCGCCAGCGCCGCTAGCCCCATGGATGCTGCGCCTTTGCGCCTCCGAGTGCCGGTGAAGGGGATTCCTGCTGCCAGCCCAGCGCTGGAAGAGGAGGATCAAGGGTTCAACTCTATTTGTGGCTTTGGGTGGCTTGAGGCTCAAGAAGGGGTCAGAAATGCCGTGAAGCAGATTTAGATGAATGCTTCGGAAGCAATCTCATATTGTTGTGGAATGACTATGGCTGTGTCTCATTTAACATCAGCCTTGGAGAGGCCATCTTACGATGAGTTTCCTTGGCGATGTTCGTGGCTTGGGTATAGCAATGGTCAACACACAGATTTATGGAATTGCAAGAATGTTCAGCAGTCCCTTCGGTTTCCGCTTTTGCGTAACCGTTGCTTATCAAATGACGGGGTAAGCGAGTTTCGTTCCCGATGACCACTTCATGTTGACGGGCCCTTTGGGTGCTATGTTTGGGAGAGCATAGGTTGAACCTATAATGGGACCCAACCAACACCAACTAACTAACACCAACCAACCAATAACCAAGACCAACCACCCAAGGCAGACCAACCAACCAAGCCCAACCAATCCGTTGGAAATACGATGCCACGGGTTTTCAACTTAGGCCCCCGCGCGAGGAGCCCGGGGACGCGGGCCTGATGGGGGTGCGTGTGGCCGACGCCTGTGGCCTGGGCCCCTTCTCTGCAGGGGCGCTGGCCTCGCAGGGGGCGGAGGTGCTGCGTTTGGAGCTGAGGGAAGGCGTGGAAGAGGAGCGCCTCGCTGTCAATCTAGGCATGTTTGGCGGGTCAAAACCGTTAAACGGGATCCCATTTTGGTTGGTAGGTGAATTCTCCACCCATTTTAGAACCTATTTTAGTGGGGATTGGGATGTTCACTGGGGGTACGGGATTTTGACCCATGGCCATGTTTGGTTGTGGGGGTGGACGTATACATGGGGATTCATGAACCCCATACTCAACCAATCAGCTATTTATAGGGGGGGTTCGGTCTGCAATGGACCGATTGGTGGACATGTACCCAACCCATTTTTGCGGGGGTTCCCCATTCAGATTCGCATGCATGTGTTTTTTAGGGACCCATGGGACCCCCCAAATCCAACATCCCAAACTGGCGGTTCTCCTTTTGGGCCCCCCTTGAAAACCCAAGCAGAGGCGGTTCTCGTAACACCAGAGACATGGAGCTGAGGCAGCTGCAGGACATCCTGCGGTGCCAGGTGTTGATCCACAACTTCCGGGCGGCGACTGCCGAGCGCTTGGGCCTAGGAAAGGCACTGAGGACTCAGCAGGAGCACCTGCTGGTCATCAGCGCCGCGACTGAACGTTGCCTTGAGACTTGACAAGCTGGAAGCGACTTCTTGCTTTCAAGGTTCGGAATCCACATGTCCCTTTCAAAGGTAGACCTCTGCTTGCTTTTTAGTGGCCCAAGAAAGTCAAGCTTTTGTTTGCGGGCCAACAGCAGAAGCACAAACCACGACTTGGACGTGTCTAGGGGTTTCTCAACGCTGTTCCTTCAATCTACTCGGGGCATGACGTCGAACATGGCCAAACTTTGGTGCCTGGAAAGGGGGCAGACGATGAATCACATCCAGATTGCCAGCGGGTTTCTGCTCGCAGTCTTTGGTGGCCTAGTATCTTTGCGAGCAAATATGACTCCACAGTTCTGGGCAAGTCAAATCTCAAGCTCGCAAAGGTTTTAGCTTGTGAACACTCACAGCAGTTTGTCATTGTTTTATTCGCCCAGACAGTGGGTCCCCATCTTTTACCTCACAAAACCAAAATTCCATGTTTTGGTTGCCCTAAGGAAGGCTTTGACCCGGCTCTTGATTTCCCCAAGAGGGGAACCTCTGGGTTCAAGTCTACGTTGGGTTATTCAAGAAACCAAGGGCATATATCATTGTCGATTTCCGCAAGAAGAAGCCGAGAAAAATTGATGATTCTATGATATATACATATATATGGGTACGGGTCAAAATTGAACCACCAGGGGACCACAGGTTTTAGTCATTATTTCTTTTTTTCCAGGGTGCCATTTTAGGTACCTTTTTTGACCCGCAGCCATTTTTGCAGTCCCAATTCCCAGCTCCAGGCATCTCTGGGTGCCAGAAGACCAGCGCGCCGACTCTGGATGCCATCGTGTCCGACGGCAACTCCGCTCCATCCATGCAGCGTATCACCGCGCAGGCGGGCGGGAGCCTTTGCAGTTTTTTTGGAAAATGAAAAGCAAACAAAACGCGCTTAAATCAGGGGATCACAGACCATGTCAAACTTGCATAGATTGCATCGCGACGGAGATTCGAATGCGAGTTGAACGGGGGTCTTGGTGCCTTGTTGAGGTATCTTGGAGGTCTGCCATGGGAATAGGATCCCTCAAAATGGTTGCTGTCTTGCTTCTTTTTTGCAGTTTGTGGAGCCCCCAAATTTTCGATGATATCCGCTCAATATATGCAAGACCCACTACATTCCCCCTGTGTCCTCGGCATGGAATGAGAGCCAAAGCCGGTGGTCTAAGGATTATCCCTACTCTTTGGACAGCCGCAACTACTTCGGATTCAAGGAAGATCCCTCCAGATCAATGTGGCGCAGGGAGTTCCCACTCTTGCGGTTGCATTGATCCGTTTTAGGGGTTCTGGTGGTCTTCCTGCCGTCCTCATCTGATCAGATCAGTGCGGCCACGTAAATTGATGCGACGTGAAGATTGCTGCTGCAGAACCCCCTCCCATGTCTGGCAAATCAATATGTCACTTTCCAAAGGCTCCTTTTCCCCACCCCTCTCGGCAACTTAGCATTGCCCAAATGCCTGCTGCGCAGGTCTGTTTAGGGCTTGCAGTTACGCCGAATTGAAGTCAGTAACACCGAATAAAAACGCAGCAACGCCGAATAAAACTCATAAGAGAGGCTGAGCGACAGGCCTCAGTTTGGTTTTGGTTCAGTCAGAATATCCACTAGCCTCCATGCTCCATGTGGGAGTGACATGGGGTGGAAAATCTCCACAAAACATATTGTGAGCGTGGCTCATGAGTTCTAAGGTGGCCGCTGGAATCATTTGCCGCGCCCTGCGAAACCTGCGGGGCGACTCTTCGGCGAGTCGACATTTGCGAATCTCCGTTACCCCCGGTTGAGACGGCAAAAGGAAGCGCTTCTAGCCCTTGACTTTGCTCGTCCAGTGCCTTCCTTTTCATCTAGAATGTATAGAGCACTCGGCTCATGGATTGTGCTGTTTCTGCGAGGTTACACTGGTTGTCAGGCAACGAGGGACTGAGTTTGATCATGTGCCGATTTTTGGGACTCATTTTCTGGAAGGAGAATCCGGACACCCAGGCAATTGCTGGGCCGGAGAGACTAGCGCTCCCTAGTTTGACACACTTCAGGTCAAGTAAGTGGATTGCGGAAGCAGCTGGATGAGCATGATACTCCAGACTTGTTCGATTGTGTCAAAGCCAAAATTTTCAATCACTGTGCTTTCCTTGCAAAGTTCAGGGTGTATCAAAAGTCAATCAATTGTGGGATCGTTTGGGTAGGATGATGCTTTTTCTGCGGACACACACACACACACACAAGCGCCCTCAAAGAAGCAACAATGGTGAATTGCATGGAGCATTGGAAGAGCCAGCTGGCTCAGTTTCAGTTTTCACATGCCGGATTAAGTCGTGGTCCAACTAGAGTCCCTTGTCTTGTGCTTTGAGGGAGTCTCTTTGGCCATTTCCCCTACCCCCAAAAGCAGTGCCACATGGAGCGGAGTGTTCCCCCACCAAAGGGGCGGTGCCTGCCACCCATACATTTTTCCGCAATGCCCTGACATCCATACATTGACGTGTTTCTGGAATGTGCGTACTGCGGAGCTGAGGGTCGCGGAGCAAAACACTTGATCTTTTTTTTTTTTGTCTTGTCTTTTCTGTTTTTCTTTTATGTCCTTGTCTTCTGAATTTCATTCTATGTTACGTCATTTATTTGTCTGTTTTCATCTTTACGTTGTTTTTTTCTTTCTTGTTTTTCCCTTTCTTTCCTTCGTTCTTTACTCCATGTTATTCCTCTATTTCGTTATGTTTGTCTTAATTGTTTCTTGCAACTGGTACTACTCCTTTGCTCACCATTCGCTTCAGGTAGCGGTTGACCACTTTGGTCCGAAAGCGCTTTCGCTTACCGCAGCGTTTGAGCCCGTGGCTTGCCGGCGCCCGCGATGCGGGAGCACCCGACATGCCAAGAGGGAGCTCTTGGGCCCCTGGTCTGCATTGAACCCTTCGGTGATCCACGACCCAAAGATCCACGTCTGCATCTAAAAAAGGGATCATCTTCCACCCTGAGGCTTAGTGGATGGGAGGGCATCCAGTTGGTTGGGAGAAGACCATGAGGCACATGCACTGACAGGTGACCGAAAGTCCAGGGACCTGCCCTCCCACTAACGTGGCAACTGACAGGGCCCTACAAAGCAAAACATGGTCTTCCAGGTACCCTCCCATGCCATGTTAGTGGGAGGGGGAAGAGGAGGTGGGGGAATGGTGGGGACCTTCTCTCATTTGGGTTGCCCAACATAGGGTTCTTTTGGTCAGGGTGCAAGATGGGTTTACAACTGGACCGTGGTTCCCTTTAAAAGAAGCCGAGGTAGTTAGCTGAACCCCTGGGAGTGGGGGGTCTTTTAGGTGTTCATGTTCTTCCCAAGCTAGCAATAGACCCCGATCATATTGTTAGTCGTTCAGCTTGTTATATATTGCGCATACAGAAGGGGCTTGAAATTGTCATCAACGCGCTTGCTGGGCTCTGATGGTCTCTCCCAGCACTGCAGCACAGGAACCACATGAAATGATACTTTTGACGGTACCTTCTTTGTGTTATTTGAAAGGGAAGGCCAAGGGCATCCATATGTTTTGCAGGCCCCTATTTCAAGAAGGGTCACTGACAACCCACCGTTCGCGGAATTTGTTTCTGATTCTGAGACACTTTTATGGGCGTGCCAACTAAGAATCCTTCATGGGATGCCTGCCTGCCTGGCCTGCTTTGTGAAGGATCCCTATTCTTGACCAGCGGCCGTAGGGTGCTATCGAACACTGAACAGTGCCCTGGATTTGGAGTTTCAATCCTTTCGGGGTCATTCTCCAGGTCTCGAAATCTGGGGTTCCATAACTTGCTTGTCCAAAGCTGAGGACAATGGCCGACAGGAGCGGTGCATTCTCACCCGTTTCCGAAGTTCATGCCGAAGGGTTGTTTGGGTGGTTGACTTGTTTCTGTGTTTTTTCTCAGACTCTCGGCTCACAGCCCATAGCGCAAAAACACAGGCACTTGTGGCGGCTATGGTGATATGTGTTTAGGCAATCTTCTCTATATGCCTGTTTGTTTGTTTGTTTGTTTGTTTGTTTGTTTGTTTGCTTGTTCGTTTGTTTGTTTGTTTGTTTGTTTGTCTCTTTGTATGCTTGCTCCCTGTTTGTCTGTTTGTTTGTCTGCCTGCCTGCCTGTCCGATTGTTTGTTTGTTTGTTTATCTTTTTACCTGTCCATCTATCTGCCTATTTGTCTGCCTATCCTTACCATCCTATCCCTTCCTGTGCTTTCCCTTCCCATCCACACCCCATCCCTCCATCCCTCCATCCCTCCATCCCTCCATCCCTCCATCCCTCCATCCCTCCATCCCTCCATCCCTCCATCCCTCCATCCCTCCATCCCTCCATCCCTCCATCCCTCCATCCCTCCATCCCTCCATCCCTCCATCCCTCCATCCCTCCATCCCTCCATCCCTCCATCCTCCATCCCTCCCCTCCATCCTCCATCCCTCCATCCCCTATCCCTCCATCCCTCATCCTCCATTCCTCTTCATCCCTTTCATTCTTCATATCTCTTCATCTCTTTCATTCTTTCATTCCTATCTCTTTCATTCTCTCCATCTTCCTCCTTCCCTCCTCCCTCCATCTCCTTCATCCCTCCATCCCTTTCATTCCTTCCCTCTCCATCTTCTCCATTCTCTTCATTCTCTCATCCCTTCATCTCCCTTCATCTCTCCATCTCTTTCATCTATCTTTCATCTCTTCATCTCTTTCATCTCTCTTCATCTCCATCTTCATCCCTCCATCTCTCTCATTCTTTCATCTCTCATCTCTCATCTCTCTCTATCTCTCTCATCTTCATTCCCTTCTTATTCCTTTCATCTCTTTCATATTCTCTATCTCTCTCTCTTCATTCCTTCATTCCTCTATCCCTTTCATTCCTTTCCATTCCTTTCCATTCCCTTCATTCTCTCCATCTTTTCTTATCTCTTCATTCTTCATCCTTCTATCTTCCATTCTTCATTCTTTCCATTCCCTTCCATTCCTTCATTTTCTTCATCTTTACTCTTCATCTTCCATTCTTCAGTCTTCCATTCTCATCTCTTCTATCTCTCTCTTCATCTTCTTTCTCTTCATTCCCATCCATCTATCTCTCATTGTCTTTCTATCTTCTTATCTCTTTCATTCTTCATCTCTTCATCTCCATCTCATTCCTCCATCTCTTCATCCTTCTCTCTATCTCTCTCTATCTCTTCATTCTCTCCATCTCTTTCCTGTCTATCTTCTTATCTCTCTATCTCTTCATCTCTCTATCTCTCTTCTCTTTCCATCTCTCTTATCTCTTTCATCTCTCTCATCTTCTATCTCTTCATCTCTCTCATTCTTCCATTCCTTCATCTCTTCATCTCTTCCATTTCTCTATCCTTCATCTCTTCATCTCTCTATCTCCTTTCATCCCTTTCATTCTCTATCCCTTCATTCTTCATTCCTTTCTCCATATTCTTCATTCTCTTCCATATCTTCATTCTTTCCATCCCTCTATCTCATTCTCCATTCTTCTATCTCTTTCATTTCTCCTCTTTCTTGTCTCTCCATCTTTCTTGTTTTCATTCTTTCATTCTTCATATCTCTCTATCTTTCTATCTCTTCATTCTTCATTCTCATCTCTTTCATTCTTTTCTATCTCTTTCATTCCTTCCATTCTTCATTTCTTCTATCTTTCTATCTCTCTATCTCTTTCATTTTTTCATCTCTTCATCTCTTTCATCTCTTTTCTCCATTCTCCATTCTTATCATCATTCTTATCTTCTTCATCTCTCATTCCTTCCATTCTCATTCCTTCATTCTCCATTCTTCTATTCTTTCATTTCTTTCTATTCTCTTTCATCTTTGTCCTCTCTTTTCCATTCTTTCATCTTCCATTCTCTTCATCTCTTCTCTTCATTCTCTTTCTTCATTCCCTCTTCTCATCTCTTCATTCTTCCTCTTCCATCTCTCTATCTCTTTCTCCATCTCTTCATTCCTCTATCTCTTCTTATCCTTTCTTATCTCTTCATCCTCTATCTCTTATTCTCATGCTTTTCTTATCTTTCATTCTCATTCCTTTCATCTTTCATTCTTCTTCTATCTCTTTCATTTCTTTCATTCTTTCATTCTTTCATTCTTCATTCTTCATTCTTTCATTCTCTCATTCTTCATTCTCTTTCATTCTTCATTCTTTCTCTATTCTCTATTCTCTTCATTCTTCATAATCTATTCTTCATTCCTTCATCCCTCTATCTTTTCTTCATTCTTCATTCTTTCATTCTCTTCTTATCTTTCTGTCTTCATTCCTCTCTTTCATTCCTTTCATTCTTTCATCCATTCTCTATTCCTTTCTAGTCCTTTCTTATCTTCTATTCTTTCATCCTTTCATCTTTCATTCTCTATCTCTTTCATCTTTCATTCATTATCCCTTTCATTCTTTCATTCTTTCATTCTCTTGGTCCTTTCATCTTCATTCCTTCATTCTTTCATTCTTTCATTCTTCTTTCATTCTTTCATCCTTCTATTCCTTTCATTCCTTCATCTCTTATTCTTTCATTCTCTTATCTTCATCCATTCTTCTTCATTCTTTCATTCTTTCATTCTTTCATCTTTCATTCTCTTTCATCTCTTTCATTCTCTATCTCTTTCATTCTTTCATTTTCTTTCATTCCTCTTTCATCTCTTCATCTCTTCGTTTCCATCCCTTTCCATCTCTTTATCTCCTTCATCTCTTCTCTTCTATCTCTTCATCCTTCATCTTCATCTTCATCCCTCTCATCTCCTTCATCTCCTTCATTCATCTATCTCCTCATCTCTCTCTCCATTCTCTATCTTCTCATCTCCTCTCCATATCCTTCATTCTCTATCCATCTCTCCTTCTTCTATCTCTCCTTTCCTCATCTTCCTTTCCTTTCATCCATCTCTTCATTCTCCATCTTCCCTCTTCATCTCTTTCATCCTTCTATCTCTTCTATCTCTTTCCATCCCTTCAACCCAATATGTATTTGTTGATACCATAGGTACAATTCATATTCCTTTCCATTCATCTCCTCTCTTTCATTTCTCTATCTCTTTCATTCCTTCATTCCTATGGTCCATTCTCACTTATCTCATCTCCATCTACTTCACCATTCTACTCTTTCCCTCTTTCATTTTCTCTTATCTTTCCATCTCTTCATCTCTCATTCTCATTCCTCATCATCTTCATTCCTTTCTCTCTACATCTCTCTCATCCTCTTATTCCATCTCTCATCTCTCCTATCTCTTATCTCTCCATCCCCTCTCCATTCTTTCCATCTCTCTCTCATCCTTTCCATTCCTCTATCTCTCATTCCCTTCCATTCCCTCTCCATTCCTCTCATTCCTTCATTCCTCTTACCCTCTACCCTTCCTACTCTCTCACTTTCACTCTCTATCTCTTTCATTCTTCTTATCTCTCTATCTCTTCATTCCCTCCATTCTCCATCCTTTCACTTTCTTCATCATCTCATCCTCTCTTCATCCTCCTCCATCTCCGCCCTCTCCATCTCTGTCGCCGTTGGTCCGTCGCCGGTGGGCGGCGCTAGCGCTCCATCTAACAGACAAGAGAAGACAAGAGAAGTTAAAGTAATATGGACAGGCATATCTAGATAGACGCATAGCTAGCTAGCTAGAAAGATAGATGGATGGAGAGATAGAGAGATAGAGATATTGAGAGATAGAGAGGTGCAGAGATACAGAGATAGCTAAATACACATACACAGATAGCTATGTACGGAAAGATAGATAGATTAGAGTAGATTAAATTAGATTAGATTGGTAGATCGATAGATAGCTAGGTAGATAGGTAGATAGATGGAGAGATGGAGAGATGAGAGATGGTATTCCATCCCATCCTATCGTACCCATCGGTTTATCAATTTGACTCTACACGCTGTTTCAGATGGGAAGATTATTGAAGCCTTCATTTTTTTTTGGCCTCGACATGGGGACCCTTTGCAGACAATGG